CTCTTGTAATTGGCCGTTCACAAACAATAATTCTTCCCTCTCTCTCTCTGTCTTTGTCTTTCTCTCTCCCTCTCTCTCTCTCTCCCTCTCCCTCTCTCCCTCTCTCTCTCTTACACACACATTTCCGATGTTATAGCGCGTGTACGTGGAAAACTATTCAGAATCGCATTACGAAGCTCTCGCGCGCTTCGTTAATCACGCGCGTTGACGGTTGAATCTTGGGTTTTTGTTTCTTTTTAGAAACAACCAAAGGGAATTAAAAAAGCATACAAATAAAAACCCTCCCTCCCCCCTCTGTCTTTCCCTTCCCGCAAACAACAACAACAAAAAAAAGAAAACCAAACAAACAAAAAGAAGAGAAAAGGGTGAGAAGAAGGAAGATGGAAAGAAAGAATGAGAGAAAGAGAGAAATATGACGATGGCAATGATGGGGGGAGTACGATGGTGGGCTATGGGTTATGGTTATAGCGAAGGCGATGGTGGTGGATGAAGGGGCGAGGAGGAGGGGGAGGAGTAGTTGGGATAGATAAAAAAAAGTGGGATGAGATTTTGTGGAGATGGTTTTAAGTTTAGCAAAAAGTTTTGAATGATCGGAAAATTGTTAAACTGACTGTACCTACGGGGGTCTTGTGCACGGTTCGTTTGGCCTTTCGTTTGTGGAACTTTTTATCGCGTGGGTAATAAACATTTGTATTATCGAATCACGAATTATTTTCAACAGCAAAGAAACTTGCTCCACATTTCTCTCTCTCTCTCTTTTTCTGTTTTTCACCCCCTCCCCCACCCCCACCCTCTGTCTCCGTTGCCCCTCCCCTAACCATTCCACTTTGTCCTTTATCGTAGTACGTTCGTTCGTTCCGTTCTGCTATTTGTTTTTTGGTTTGCTTATATATATTTTTTTTCTTGTTTTATTTAATATAATCAACAAAAGTTTTAATTCACATCGACGAATTTCCGTGTGCACGTTGCCTCTTCTTTATCTTTTGTTTTAAAATAATAATAATAATAAAAAAAAAGAAAGGGGGTTTTTTCTTTTTCCGTTTTTTAATTACATTTTGTATTTATTTCTCTCGCTTTCTCGTATCTACAATTTTTTTTTCATTAATAAAAATTGTATTCGTTTATTCGTGTGTGTTTGTTTTAATTAAATAATTTATTATAGTCTTTATTAATATTTCTACGATTCTAGAAACTAATCCTGTCTCCTCTTTCGTGTTTTATTATTATTATTATTATTATTATTATTATTATTATTATTAATGCAAGTTTTATATTATTTTTCATTGTTATTTACGTTTCTATCGTTGGAACACATTTTTCATATCCCCCTTTTTTCTTTTTTTTTTCTTAATCCGAGATTGCAACTCGTCGTCGTAATTGTATTTTCTATTTTAACGTAAAAATAGATTATTGAATAGTAGAATAAAGACAACATAGGTCTATCTATGAACTTTAATATCGTGTGTTTGTAAGTACATATACAGGTACTAACAATTAGTGTACAATAACTCGTTACGCATCGATCGTCGTTGTATTGACTATAATGGATGGGAAATGGTAACAATGGTAACAATAATAATAATAATAATAGTAATAATAATAATAATAATAATAACAATAACAATAATAATATCGAAGGAAACGTATATGGGATGTCTCATTTTAATTAAATCGATCGATTCCCATCTAAATAATTTATTCAATTATTATCAGCTTTCAATCGTTATCAGCTTCAATCGTTATCTAATTATAAATATACACATGCACGCGCATGCGCACATACATACATATATATATATATATGCATTAAAATTAAATTGAATTAAGATTAAAAAATAATTTAATATAATTTACGATATAAATCATAATAATATGATTATAAACGCGTGAATGTAAAGAAAAAAATAATCACTCAAATAAATTAGTTTTACATCATTATCTGTTCTAGTTTTAAATAAATATCAATTATAATTAAAAAGTAAATGAATAATAGAAAATAATTAAATATAATATAATGATATATACGTATATTGCGTATAATTTGATTATAAACGCGTCATCTTTTAATAACAATTTAAATTCGTTTATTATTTTTATTTAAATTACTTTTAATTAAAATAATATACGGATATTATATAAATAATAAAATAGTTCATTAACATGATCGATCCACTATTATTAATCGAAGAAAATTTAACGAAAATTCCATATCAAAATTCGTTGTTCCTCTTTCCACATATTCGGCAGATCTTTTACCCTTCATATCGTCTTCTCCTTTTCTTTTCTTGTTTACCGGTGCATCCAATCGAATCGGAAGCAAGGCCGTGCGCGTGTGTGTGTGACACGTATACGTGTGCTTATACTTATATGTATTCACGTATACTTGCCAAAGTGAGAGCTAAACACACCGTTACTTTCTGTCGTTGTGTATGTGAAATATATGCATGTGTGTATGTGTGTGTGTGGATGTGTGAGAGAGAGAGAGAGAGAGAGAGAGAGAGTTTAGCAGCAGCAACCACCTCGTCTCTTTTCTTGTGTTTTGCTGTCCGCACTGGATTCACTTAAGCGTTGCATCTCTCTCTCTCTCTCTCTCTTTTTCTTTTTTTATTTTTTATTTTTCTTTTTCATTTTCTTTTTCTTTTTCTTCGTCAGTTATCCTGCAAATATCCTCCAGGGAACCACCCTTGGATTTCTGTGGTTTCAAGTCGCAGACCCTCGTTTTCTCACTCGCCTGTCAGTGTGTGTGTGTGTGTGTGTGTGTGTGCTATGTGCGAGAAATGATTTCTTTAAAAAGAAACACAGGAAAAGGAAAATAAATAAAAGAATGATATTAAAGAATTTACCATCCGTGTAATCCCCCCTTGCTCCCCCCCCCCMCCCCGCTTTTATCTTTTTTGTTTACTTTTATTTTTCATTCCCTTTTCTTTATTTCTTCTATATTTTAATTAAATTAAATTATATTATATATTATCTTATAATATTATATTATATTATATTATATTATTTTCCTCTTAAACCCATTTTAAAAGTAGAGTAATAAGGACTCTATATATATTATATTATATTATTTTATTTTATTTTATTTTATAATTTATTTTTATTGACAAAAGTATAAGTAAACAGTATTTCTGTCAAGTAAATATTTATTATTACTGCTTTTTTTATAAAATGCCCTTCTATTTGAGAAGTAATCGATAAGAAAGTATATACAAATATATACCTTAGTATCGCTTTAATACTCATCTCTTCTTAGCTCCGGTTTATAAAGTTAGACTTTAGAAGGAATGAAAGAAAGAAAGAAAGAAAGAAAGAAAGAAGAAAGAAGAAGAAGAAGAAGAAAGTCTTTTATAGAACGTGCATACGATGCGAGTTATCGGATCGACAGAAATAACTTGCCATTCGAACTCTCTCTCTCTCTCTCTCTCTTTCTCTTCTCTCTTTCTTTTTCTCTCTAATATCCGTAATACGAAAAAATATTGTCACGAGAAAATCGAATAAGGGTTGAGTATAAAAAGGGGGAAAAAGAGGACTTTCCACGAAAATCATTTTTCTTTTCTTTTCTCTTTTTTTTTTCAACTTCTTCTTCTTCTTCTTCCTTTTCGTTTTCCTTTTTCTTTTTTTTTCTTCTTTATTCTTGTATTTTTTTTTTTTCTCTTCTTCTTACCTTTTTTCCTTTTACTCCTACTTCTACTTTTCCAGTACTTTCTTTTTATCTTGAACCGACGGCACAGTTTTGTCGAGCGTATCCGCCACGTTGCTTGCTGTACTACGACAAAATTTATCCTGTGCCGCGTTATTCGAGAAAAGGGAGTAGTCTATATGTGTTTGTGTATATGTGTGTGAGGGAGAGAGAGAAAAGGAATAGGGGTGTGTGCAAAAGTGAGGGTAGTAAAGGATAACTTTTACTTAGGAGCCATCGTTAAAACACTCGGAAAATATTCTATCGATTTCCAGGAAAATGAGATTAATATTCTTTAAGAATAATGGTTAGTATTCTTTCTGTATGTAGGTGTGTGTGCATTTATGTGATTTAGTAAAAGAAATATAGTATGAAATAATTTACGTGCAAAGAAAATAATTACTTTTATTTATTGGAGAAAAGAAAAAAAAAAAGAAAAAAAAAAAAAGGAAAGAGAATATTTATGAAGAAGGGTTTATCAAATTTTCAATTTCTAACTAAGAAGAAAAATAATTTGTGGAGTATTAAAAGAGAGAGAGAGAGAGAGAGAGAAATTGTCGTTTAATAAAATACATCCGTTTTTATTGGCTATTAATCTTTTTTTTTTTTTTTTTTAATAATAATAATAATAATAATTTTTATTCTATAACTTGAGAAAATGAAGTGGCAGTAAATTATATTTCTTTCTTTTTTTTCTTTAAATTGTTACGAAAAATGTTTTGATCGGATATAATGAAACTTTTGTTTTTATAGTTAACGTTTATTTAAAAAAATTACAACAAAAGTTACATGAAAGATTAGAAATATTACGGAAATAAGAAAAGAAACGAATATTTACGATGCTTGTAAACAGGGAAACTTGATACCGGTATTTTTGGAATATCGGTATTTTGCTCTGTGGTTTTCTCGTGAAACCGGTATTTTTGCCAACCGTTATTACCAAAACTGAAATAATACTGACAACTGAAATAAATACCGATATTCTGTTTAAGAGTTTCTATTGCGGACGTTGTGGGTGTATATTTTGTTTTTTTCTCTCAATAATTAAAAACAAACAAAATCAAAAGGAAAGTGTACAGTTAACGAGGATCGATATATGAAATTACAATTAAACGAAAAATAATAATGAATTCGGTTAACTGGGGTTTAAATATTAATTAAATTATTATTATTATTATTATCCTAACATATAAATAAAGAAAATCTATAAAATGAAAATGTAAAATACAATTGAAAATACGAAATATGAAATTTGATATCGCGTTTCGTATGATAAATTGAATATTAATCAAATAAAATATTGATTATTGTGTTATTGTAGTTGCTGGGCGGTGCTTGCTTCAGCCACGGCCCTTACACATTCTATAAAGCCGTTAGAATAGGAAATGGACGAGTCCTTCGGCTTGGTAATTTCTTCCTGACGAAACTTTGGAGTGACGCCGACCTCGTCAGCATCGGTGAACTTCAGTTACTTTGGATGGACAGCCGCGGACCAAATCAACCTTTGGCATCGTTACGGCTCTATTTCCTTCCGGAGAACACCCCGGATGGTCGTAGGGACACACACGGAGAGGTAAGTCCCCTTTCTTTCTTCTTTTCCAATTTTTTTCTACATTTTTCTCATTAATCTAGGGATTTAATTAATTAATTAATTAAACGATATTTACGTACGTTGCGCGAATATTTTAATTAATTATTTTCTCTCTCTCTCTCTCTCTTTTTTTCTCTTCAATATTAATATTATTATTATTATTATTATTAATATCGTTATTATTGGTATTATTATTGTTATCGTTAATCTTCATTTCGCGTTTCCCAATTCGTTTTATATTCTACCTCAACAGTCGTTAATTAAAATCATTATTCATTTTTCATTTTACTTTTATTTTATTATTCGAGAAGAGCTAATATAACAGATTCGTGCCTGGTCGTAATCGATTTTAATATAACTATACATAGAATATAAATAAAATTCCGCTCGCTCGCTCCCGAGATATCAAGATTCACATTTTATATACGTGTATATATATATATATATATATATATATATATATATATATATATATATATATATATTACGACGTTGGTTTTACAAATGTGTGCCAAAAAATTCATATAACTTTCTGTCACGTATTATATATTAGTAAATAATACTAGTACATACATATATACATATGTATATAGGGTAACTGTACCTAATATGGAACACCACTGCAATATCCCGGGCAAGCAAACAACGTAAATTATCAATAAGGCATGCGTAATATTTTGTTTCTTACAAACAACAATAGAATCGAAGTAATAGCATTTTTTTTTTTTTTTTTATTATTAATCTGTCACAGAAATTAAAACGTTTCACAACGTTCCATAATTAAAATATCACGAGCACGCTTTTTCTTTTTCTTTTTTTTTGGATATATAAATACTTGAATTAATTGCTTAACAAAAATAAGTAGAAAATTAAACGAGATTAAATTAGATCCGGTCATCGTATTTATACAGAATATCCCAAAATATGTGAAACATAATTTTAGGAATTATTTCGGTACGCTGAAATAAGAAATAAAAGGTTCATTCAATCATATTAATTATTTTGAAACACCCTGTATAATATATTTGGGTCCCTCTTTTATAACATAACGCAGCGGGGGGTTTACCTTGGATATACGAAGCGTAATAGACCGGTATGGGGGTTGTTATTAAAAGGCAATCTCACGCACGAGTCAAGAAAAAAATAGAAAGAGAGATAGAGAGAGAATATAAATATAATGTCGGCTCGTATTTGTCGAGGTGACCCTTAACTTGCTTTATTCCCGCTTCTTTTGTCGAGTTATATGTTGGAAAGGGTCGCGTCTTCTGCTTGTACACCCTTTTCTGTTTTCTCCATTGCATTAGGGCGCGCAAACTCGACGGATAAAAAAGCTTTCTACTTTATCGATCACCACCGGTAACAAATGGTTCGTTGACTCTCGACCTCGGTTTCTTATCGTTATCATTGCTAGAATCTTTTCAATGGATTTAAATCATTTAAATTGTTCCAAAATATTTGTGATTATAATATTAAAATAATAAATAATCTTATATATTAAATTAGTATCACACACACATACATATTTTTTTGTCTTTTATTTTTTAATCGATATGCAATGGGATAAACAAAAGTTATTGGTCATAACAAATTATTTTCTGCTCGTCTATTAAAATTATAATTGTTTATTTATTAATATTCTTTTTTTCTGCTAAGATATATCCAAAGTTCAAATAAATATTATTAACTAATTGAGATTAAATTCTTATAGAAGATAGAATTTTTAAAACAAGATTTTATTTTTGGGCATAACTTTTGTATTTTTAATTATTAATTTTTTTTTTTGTATATTGTATAATAATAAACTAATCGCGATTATATTCTAAACAGTATATGCATATTTAACTTTAAGAAAGTCCAATAAATAATTTTAATATTTTTAATCCAATTTTCAAACTGGAAATACACGATTCTAATCTCTTGAAGTTTTATACTTTTTTGTTGTATACTTCGATGTATCCAAACAATTTTCCCTTCCTTTCGTAACTCCTCCTCCCACTTCGTGCCATTACCAACACTATTGGCGTCGGATGGTTGCTATCAACACTGGTTCAACGTTATGTTCCATTTTCTTTCCATTTCGATATTTTCTTAATCTCTATGAAAGACTCGTAAAAGTATAATTTATACAAATATACAACTACTTTCTACAGAGGGGGTTTTACCTCAAGTTCCGATAATAATCTTTACAACTTTAATGTAAAAACTAACTTAGAATAATTAAGTTTTTTTCTTTAGTTCTTTTTGTATTATTAATGTCATATTATTAATGTCATCATATTATCAGAGAAGGTGAGAAAAAAGACAAAATATTACTCTATCTTAATGCATCGTAATCTTTTAATTAAATTTTATATAGAAAAAAAAAAAGAAATTGATCAATCTACATTGTTTCGCGAATCTAAGTGATTAATTAAGATTTACTATATATGTATATTCAAAATATTTTAATCATTCGATTTAATTAATATTATATTAAATCTTAATTATTTATATATAATATTTTATTTTAAAAAAGAAAGAACAGAGAGAGACTAAAGTCAGGGAAAAAATCGGTAGAATGAATTCGAACAAAAAGTTCTCTTAGTTGATAGGGGATGCAAAAGAACGCTATAGATCAACCCCTTAGACTCGACCGTATGGTGTCGGTCTGAAATTTTTGGGGTTGCCGTCGTTTCGTCGAGACATCGTCAATTAAGGTCACCCTATACGGTTTCATTTGGTTGTTTGCTACGTAATTATTTCTAAAAGGTACAAGAAAAATCCTATTAATTTACATAGGATACATATATATATATATAAATTGATTATTTATTTAATTGTTTTGTTTATTAGGATATATCTTTCGAGTTTAAGGGTTCAGAAATATTTTTTTTTTTGTATAAAAAGTGAATATTAAATTGGCGTTGAATAAAGAAAAAAAAATGAATGAAAATAATAAAAAGTAAACCAAGTCTTATTAGTTGTTTATACAAACTGTGAATATAATTTTTAAAAATAAAGACCAAATATTAATTATTTTAATTTTTCGTTTTATTTTAATAAATTATAAAATTATTTTAAAAATAAATTATACGTCAATTGTGTTATTTATTTCATCGTTATCAAATCTCATATCAAATTTTAACGTCGTTAAATAAAATCATTATTCGTTCCGGTAAATTTATTTTTTTTTTTTTTTTTTTTTTTTAAATTAACAAAAAAACTGCCTAAACATGTGTCGATTTTTTAATCAAAATAAAAACCAAATAAAATATCGTTCAATTATACATTTTACACGAATCATTGATATTAAACTATAATAATAATCATAAAAAAATATCTAAGTGTATACATGGTGTAATTTTAACAAGTCATTGTAGATCGATCAAGGAACCATAAATATCGATATTAAAACTCGTCTAAAATTTCTCGTATTATATGTAGGCGGTAACATATTGAACGAATCGTTTTGTTATCTTTTTCCGGTTCTTATATATAACAACAAACACGACAACGACAACGACGAAGATGGGAATGTTTGTGGTGGTGGTTTTATCGCGAATCGACAGTGCGTCGCGTGTAATTGACGTGATTGATGAACCCGAACTGAATGGAAAGTTCGATTCATCTCTTTTCTCAGGGACTTAGCGTGAGGGGGCGAGGACGCCTTTATTCGGACTGTTGGCTTTTAACATCGTTTGAATTTATTCTCTTTCTTTTAGTTTTTAAATAGGAATCAAATGATTCTAGTAAAATATGCACAATTTACTTGCACTCTTTTATTTTTATTTTATTCTCTCCCCCCCCCCTCCTCCTCCTCCATCTACCCCTATATTTCTCTCTCTCTCTCTTTCCAACGTTGTGTCGTATCGAACGTACGATATTATTATTTTTAGAATTATACTCATTATTGATTTTTATTCGATCGCATAGATGAGCTTTTATATCTCGTGACTTTTAAAAAGTGAGAGTGTATGTGTGTGTGTGAGAGAGAGGGAGAGAGAAAAAAAAGAAAGAACAAGATAGAGAGCTTTCAAACTTTAACCAATATTATCGTTCATGTACGACGTGATGTAATTAAAATGGCTCGTTGAGTGGTGTTAAACTGATTTACCATCGGAACTTTAATGATTTTCTATACAATTTTCTCGTATAATATTAAAGAAAAGATATAAAGTTTTGCAATTATTTTATTTAATAATTATATTATGTTGTTTTGTTTTTCTTGCTTTATATATTATTATGATGATAATAATAATATTAATATTAATGTGACAATAATCGTGCTTATGTTTTTTTATCTCTTTTTCTTTTACACCCCACGCGTACATTTAATTTTTCTTGTCGTAATTATTTTTAAGTGGGAGAAAAAAAAGAAAGTATCTCTCTCGTACGTACATCGTTTTTCTTTTCTTTTATTTTTCCAATTTTTTTTTTTTTTTTTCTTTTTTTTTTTTCATTTCTGATTCACTGAACTGTTCTCTCGATGTAATGCAAAAATGAAACCTAATTGTAGAATAAATGAAATGATTTTTATTTGCATTGAAAAAATATAAAGATAAAAGAAAATTCTTTGTTGATGTTTTTATATATATATATATAATTGGAATAATAAAATTCGAATGGAATCGTTTATTTTTATGAAAATAAATCGATGAAATCGTTTGAATTCAATACCTTGTTGTTCCGAGAGGAAACTATATCTTCGTGAATTATTTCAAAGTAGTATCGTTAGCGAGTCCTTTTACGAAATATTTACGCCATTCGTTGAATCATTAAATTGTTTTACCGTTTGATGTGCGAAATAATAGGAAATTGATGACATTGTTTAACTTGTAATTACAAACGCGAATAAATTCATACAATCATTCGTGCAAAACAATTTTTAATTGATGATTTATTTCTATAGAAAAATTGTTCAATTAAAAATATTCGCTTTGTTCGGAAAGTAATTAATCTCATATCCTATAATGATTTCGTTGATCGTATTTACTTGTATCCCA